TGGTATTTAGAGACTGAGTCTTTGAGAGGTAATTCAGTTTAAATGAGATAATGAGGGTGAGGAGAGAAAGAGAGAGTAGAATTCACCTGCTCTCTCCCCTGTGAGAACAGAGTGAGAAGACAGCCATCTGTAAGCCAGGAAGAAAGCCCTCACTGGGAAACCAAATTGATTGGCACCTTGATCTTAGACTTCCTATTCTCTAGAACTATGAGAAATAAATTCCTATTGTTTAAACCACCAGTCTATGGTGTTTTTTTTTTTTTTTATGAATAGGCTAAGTTGACCTATACGATGTATATATTTTAAATATAAAAAATTAATGATTGATCCACATACCTTTAACATTCTTTTACTAAAATCTATCAGTGTGTCTGAAGACTGCCTAGGTCAGTTATCCAGTGATGTCATTTGACTGATACAAGCTTCAAGTTGATATTCTGCCTATAAGGGAATTGATTAAATAACATACCATGAAGATTAAGCCAGTTGCTATTAAGTTGGAGAAAAGGCAAAAGCTAAGCTAGAGAATAGTCTACTGTCAGAAATTGAGCCCAGAAAGTCATTGGATCAGCACCAAAGACTAGAGTGGGAGAGTAAGAACAAGATGATGTCTACAATCTTTGGGTCAAACAAGTCAAATGAGACTTAGAAAGACAGACAACTCCTTGCCCCCATTTAGTCCTATATTAACAACAACAACAACAACAACAAAAGACCTGGTGGTAATAAAATGTCACTGTACAAGCAAATTTGGACATGGGTATGTATTCATGTGCTGTTGTGGTGGGAGTAAGAATGTCAACCAATAACATATACAAACACATCTTAAAGTCTAGTTAGTCAAAAATCTTAAGCCAAAAATGATGCTGATAAAAATACACATTATAACACACTCTAGGGTTAAACCAATAACTACAAAAACTCGACTGATCATGATCTTAAACAGTAATTTTTCATTGAAAACAAAAATAGCATCAATTAAGAATCATGAACAACTTAAAACAACATGGATGATGTGCTAGAAAGGAAATATCCTCCTTCAAATTATTACACCTAGTTGTGGGCATGCACAGTAGAACTTTGCTAATTGTTAAGTGTTTTGTGGCACAGACTTCTTAGAAAAATCTGATTCTTCAGGGAACCATAGCCATGAGCTAATTTTAGTTTATGAACACCAAATTTTAGTAACTCAAAGTCATTCAATATATAACTACTAGGAAGCAGCTTATGTAAAAATGCAATGCTGTGAATTGTGAGTCAGTTGCTGGCACACACCACAGAAAGAACTTGGATTTAGGGGAGTCTGAGGCTCACCTGCAGAACTCCACTGCATAATAGAGAACTGGCTGCTGTGTGAGGCTGTGCTGCCAGTTACACCAGGGAAACTAGCATTCCTTTCCAGATGATCTGTTCAAAAAGGCTAGAAGCTGGGAGAAACTTCTAGATGCCAACAAGTAGTTAAGAGAGAACTCCCCAGGGTTCTACACTCTGAAATGAGCTTTTACAGTCCTGATCACAGGAGAAGCCCTCAGCTCAGGCAGGCCTTTGGTCAGAGATTGCCCAGAGATGTTGCTCCAGAAGGGGAATCCACATGGAATCAATCCTATAGGTATCTGAGCCCAGGGCAGCACCAGCTTGGTACCAGCCATTCTGAGAACCTATATGCTAGGGCTGTACAGATGTCGCTGCTGCTGTGGTGCTGCTCTGAGAAGGGAGAGGGAAGAGCAGGTGTTCCCATGTATCCAGGGACCCCACCACCCTGTTGTGAGACCAAGATGTGAGCAGATTGCACTCCCTATAGCTTTTTGTGTATGCTGCTCACTGGAGAGGGTCCTGGCCTTTTCTGGTCACAAACCCATGTTGCTATTTTGTGAGTTTTGCTTAACTGTGTTCCACCTTTGAGTCAAGTTTGAAATGGAGAAAACCTAGGGAAAACTCTTCTGGACATTTGTCTGGGGTAAGATTTCGTGAATAAGACCTCAAAAGCACAGGCAACAAAAATAAAGATAGACAAATAGGACTTAATTAAATTAAAAAGCTCTACACAGCCAAAGAATAATCAACATAATGAACAGACCTCCTACAGGATGGAAGAAAATATTTTCAAACTACGTATCTGATAGGGCACTAATATTCAGAATTTACAAGGAACTCAAACTACTCAACAGCAACAATAAAAGGAAATAATCCCATTAAAAAGGGACTAGGAAATGAATAGACTTTTTCAAAGGAGAACAAAAAGAAATGTTCAGCATCAGTAATTATCAGAGAGAAATGAAACTTAAAACCACAATGCGATATCATCTTATACCAATCAGTATGGCTACTGTTAAAAAGATTTTTAAAAAAGATGTTAGCAAGAATACAGGGAATAGGGAACACTTATACCCTGTTGGTGGGAACGTAAATTAGTACCACCTCTACGGCAATCAGTATGGATATTTCTCAAAGAATTAAAAATAGACCTATCATTTGATCCAACAATCCTGCTACTGGGTCTCTTAGCCAAAGGAAAAGAAATAATTATATCAAAAAGATACCTGTACTCTTTTATCACAGTGCTATTTATAATAGCAAAGATATGGATTCAAATTAAGTGTTCACCAATGGATTTTTGGATAAAGAAAATGTGACATGCACACACACACAATGGTTTACTATTCAGCCATGAAAAAGAATTAAGTAATCTTTTCAGCAGCATGGATGGGACTAGAGACCATTATCTTTAGTGAAACAACTCAGGCATAGAGACAAATACCTCAAAGTCTCACAAATGAGAAGATAAGTAATGTGTACGCATGAAGAGTGCACTGATAGTGGAGGATGGATAATAAGAAATTACTGAATGGGTACAAAGTATGGTACTCTAATGATGGACACATTAAAAGCCCTGACTTCACCACTGTGCAATATATATTATACCTGTACTCCATAAATTTATACAAATTCAAAAACAGCATGATCTTAAAACTAGGAGCTGTCAGTGACTGGTGTGGGCATCAATTAAGTATGCTAAGAATGTAAACTTTTTCAAGATTAGTTTCTAAGTTACACATTTACTTGAAGCATTAAAAATCCTGAACAAACTGAACAATAACAAATGTGGGCACCTATTTCTTTTAGCAAAGACAGGATGCATTGTCCTTCTGTGTCTTGTGACAGACTATTTAAACCAGAGAACATGTTTCACAAATTGAAATATTTATGGTTTGCTTGTAGGTAGAAACATTTAGGACCAGTTATTAAAGAGACCAAAAAATCTCAAAGGAAAGAATGATCATAGAACAGGTTACGGTAGCTCCTAAAACCTGTATGTGCCATATTTTCTATTATGGAGTCAAATAGAAGTTGTAAATACCTATCAGAAATCCTAAGGAAATTTTTATTTATAGAAAAACAGTAAAGGTAATGTACAAAATAACACTTTTTGAATTGCTAGACTTTTACAAACTCCGAACAAAGGTTTACAATTTCCTGCCAAGGAGATGCAGCAGCTGCTTCAGGATGTGGGTAAGACAAGCATGTTCCTGTGGTAACCATTTCCCACAGAAGAAAAGTAGTTAAAAGACAAATCTTTGCTAAACTGCAGCCTTGGAGGTCTCCTGATTTATGAGAGCAACAAGAACAAAGTAAATTGAGCTGTTTAAGAAGCAGTTTAGAAATAACTATTCATTGAACCAGCAAAGTTTATCAAATAAAATGACTAAATTTACAGTGGATAGAAAACACTTTGACATAGCTTGGTAGTCCCCAAGCATTTTATTACATGGCATTGTATTTTTGATGGATATACTACCACTAGTATATTCTACAACTATACAAGATAAATCTTCATATAAATCCCTTAAGGTTCTAGTCAATCCTTTGTAAATAATAATTCTGCTAGTGCTACAAATGCAGATTTATTCAGTTGAAATAGGTTGTACATTTATTTTCCCATAATATCATGTTTTTTCCCTTATCTTTCAACTACAAGCTATCTTCTAGTAATACTTACATATTAGTGTTATTTTATGCATCTCTTGTTCATTGGAATTCATTCACTTTATTCACTCATCCTTCCAACAAACATGTATTGAGTACATCAGCAAATAATTGGGTCAACTGAGAATTGCTTTCTCATCTTGTACTTATGTCCATTATTTTCCGATAATGAGAAGCCTAATTTTTCATGCCATTGCGGTTGATCCACCCAAACCCTCTAACCAAGAGCTATGGTTGTTACATATTTATTTCTAAGGGTGAGAAGCAGTAGGGTGCAGAGAGTAGGATGATAAGGAAAGAAATTGGTATGTATTACTTGCACCCAACATGCAGAGCACTTAGATACGTGTTCAACACATATTACCTCCAACAAGTTTCATGACAACAAAATGAGGTAGGTATATTATTATTCCATTTCCATAAGCTGAAAAACTCAATCTCAACACTTAAGGGACTGGTCATTTAAGGTCACACAGTTAGTAAGTGGCAGTGCTAATAATGTAATAGTGGTCTATCTAATCCCAAAGGCTTTTGGACATCTCTTCTACACAGTTAGAACCCAATACTTCTTTGTTCGATTTTTGAAAAAAATTGTTTGAATCTATGCTACTCATAAAACCCAGATCTCCTCCTCTTCCATTTTGCCTGCAAAAACAATATACTGTTTAGATCAATACCGAGGGAAATACCTTTCAGCAACAGTTTGTGAAGCAAAGGTAGACAGCTGATATAATGAAAAATTCTAATGAATAAAGTAAAACATTTTTACAACCCTGAAACCTATCTGTCCAAACACTATATTATGCTAGATTTTTTTTTCAGAACCACTCTTCTGGGAGTAACAGATAATAAATTATGAATAGGTATCTAAAAGTAAGTGCTAGCAATATAAATTAAATAAAAATGCAAATATAAAATATTTTATTAACAGAAATGAAGTAATATCACAAAATTAATGTTAAAGGAAAAAATTTATTATGTAGCTTTCCCTCTAATTAGTTCATAGCAGTAGGTACCTTATATTCTTCATAGTCATTGCTATCTAGAAAGTCCCTTTTCTCCAGTTCTATACGTTGTTCTGGTGAGGGTTTAGCAGGTTGTGGCTTAATTGAGGCTTGTTCATATAAGGGCTTTCCACTAAAAAACAGTTCCTTCCAATCGTGCATCAACTTGTGTGGAATCATGCTATTGCAAAACAAAAAGGTAGAGATTAATCAATGGTTAGTCAAATATAAACTCTAAGATAAGAGTTAGTTTACATATTTATAAATGACTTGCAACAGAAAAATCTAATGTTACATCGGTCTTATTGTCATGGCATATGTGGTAAACTTTGAAATTATTTTTCAATAATTATTTCTATTTAAGTTTAATGAAAGTGAGTTAATTACTTAAGTATAATACAGATGTTAAAGTTTAAAGGGGGCTTGAAAAGCATGTTTAGCCTGTTTGTTTTGCCCAGAAAGACACTAGAGCATTTAAATGATTTCTAAGGTTGCATAGTCAGTTGACATCAAGCTGGAAATGAAAGAACCTAAGTATTGTGATCCTTCTCATTGTTTTTGACATGCTGTTCTGCCATGACACAGTCAATTAGCAAGTTTGAAGAACCAGGAGCATTCAGTAACATTCATTCATTCAAACCTAAGTTCTGGACCTTTCACATGTACTGGTCATTAGAGATATAACAGTAAGTAGAATTCTTGGGCTCAAATGCCAGACTCTGAGAAGGAAGTGCAAAAATAATTGCAGAAATAAACAAAAGTGTTAAATGAGAATACACAGTGGGCAAGTATAACAGGGTGACTCAACTTGGTGGTTCAAGGGAGGTCTCTTTGAAGAAAGAACTGCTAAGTTGAAGCCTAAAGAATGCCTAGGAGGCAACTAGGACAGAGTGACAGGAAAATTGTTTCAAGAAGAACAAAATGTGCAAAGGGAAGAAAGAGCCAGACATGATTCTGATGCACTTCTTTAAAGACAGCTCGACTAGAATTTGAAATGACAACTTAAAAAGGTAGTACTTCACTCTGATACGTGCTACCACATGGATGAACTTTGAAGACATTAAGCTAAGTGAAATCAGCCAGGCACAAAAGGACAAATATTACATAATTCTACTTATACCAGTTACTTAGCATAGCCAAATTCAAAGAGAAATAAAATAGCATAGAGGTTCTTAGGGGCTACGGTCCCTAAAGAATCAGCTACAGTCAGGGCTCTGGGAGAACTCCTGACCCTGCTTATAGTCAAACCCAGAGTCCGAAGCATTCTTCTTTATAACCTTTTAATATTCTCCTTGTGGCTCCACTGTGACATTTGCAGAGAATCTATGGTTGCAATCCACTGAAGTGGTCCATGTACTTTGAAAAAGTTAGGAGAAAAAAAAAAAAACCTTAACTTTGTGACCTTTACTGTAATTTTTTTGCACATTTAAGATGTGAGGAAAGAAAGATAAAATGGCAAAAAGCAGGAAGGCTTATTAAATAGCTTCTATAATATTTAAGAATATTGGTCTAGGGCAGATACTGAGAGTAGCTCACACCTTTAATCCCAGCACTCTGGGAGGCTGAGGTGGGAGGATCAGTTGAGGTAAGAAGCTCAAGACCAGCCTGGCCAACCTAATGAGACTCCCCATCTACAAAAAAGTATTTTTTTTAAAAAAAGAATATTGGTCTTTAATATTGGTTTTTAAAAAAAGTATATTGGTCTTATACTTGCCCAATGTTGTCCTTTTACTCAAGATTCTGGCCTTACTAATTCCCACCTGGCACTGAGGTTCCTGAATAAGAAAATCATCTGCCATGGCTTCTGGGTCCCTGAAATCAGTTTTCTTCTTAACTGAAATCTCTAAGATTCCATGCATACATCCAGTTTCTTGAATGATCCAAATTTCATCAGCTCAGCTCAGACCGGCCTGGTCTGATAAAGCAATTATTAATTCAACATAAAACAACTGAGGAAAAAATGCTATTATATTACCAAGGGTTGCCTTGGAAGTAGTACTACACTTTCCATTTTATTTTATTGATTGATTGAGAAAGGGTGCTGATATCTTGTCCAGACTAGAGTTCAATGGCATCATCACAGATTACAGCAACCTCAAACTTCTGGGCTCAAATGATCCTCCTGCCTCAGCCTCCCAAGTAGCTGAGACTACAGGAGTGCACTATGATGCCTGTAGAATTTTCCTAGTTTTTGTAGAGATAGAATCCTGCTCTTGCTCAAGCTGGTCTCAAACTCCTGGCCTCAAGCAATCCTCCTATCTCCGCCTTCCAAAGTGCTAGGATTATAGGTATGAGCCACTATGTCTAGGCACTTTCCATTTTAGGATGATATTTTTGAATTTTAAATAACTTGTCCTAAAAAGTCAGGCTATATGGTCTGCTTTAGCCCAGTGTGAATCATTTATGCTACTTGTCTGTTTTTCTATTGCTATTTAAACGTACTTTGATTTTTTAAAATTAAACTTTCTGTTTTGAGATAATTGTAGATTCATGTGAAGTTGTAAGAAGTAATGCAGAGAGATCCACATGCCCTTCGCCTAGTATCTTCCAATTGTGACATCTTACAAAACTATAATACAACCAGGATATTGATACTGATACAGTCAAGATACAGAACACTGCTGTCAGCACAAACACAAAACCTTTCGCCTTGCCCCTTTATAGCCATACTCACTCCCATCTCCCCTCTCCTCTCCTTAGCTTCTGATAATCACTCATCTGTTCTCAGTTTCCATATTTTTTTCACTTCAAGAATGTCACATAAGTGCAATCACATAGTATATAACCTTTGGGGATTGTCTTTTTGTTCATTCAGCATAATTATGTGGAGATTCATCCAGGTTGTAGCATGTATCAATAGTTCATTTTGTATTGCTTAGCAATATTCCATGGTATAGATGTGTCACAATTTAACCATCATCTGTTGAAGAACATCTAGAGTGTATAAGTTTTAAGCTATTACAAATAAAGCTGCTATAAACATTCATGTTTTCGTGTGAATGTTAAGTCTTACTATTTCCTGGGTAAATGCCCAGAAGTATAATTGCTAACTAGTATGAGAATTGCATATTCAATTTTTCGAGAAACTGCCACACTGTTTTTCAGAGGCACTGGACCATTTTACATTCTTACTAGCAATGAATGAGTGAATTTCTCTGTATCCTTACCCACATTCAGTGTTTTCGTTATTTTTAAACTTTTAGCTATTCTTTTAAATGCATACTGATATTTCACTGTTTTCACTTTGAATTTGTCTAATAGCTGATGATAAAAACTTTTTTCATGTGAATATTGGTCATCTGTGTATTCTTGTCAACGAAATGCGTTTACACATCTTGTGCCCACTTTCTAATTGAGTTCTTTATTATGGAGTTTTAAGAATAATTCATATATTCCAGATAGTAGTCCTTTGTTGGGTATGTAGTTCGCAAATACTTTCTCCCACTTTCTGTGTCTTTTGTTCTTTTTCAAAGCAAAAGGTTTTGAAGACCAATTTATTGACTTTAATGTTTTAAAGTTTTTGATTTTAATGAAGTCAAATTTGTTAAACTTTCCTTCTCTGGATTACCTAGGCACAGAACCCAAAGATTTTCTCTTACATTTTTCTAAAAGTTTTATGGTTTTATATTTAATTCCATGATTCATTATGAGTTAATTTTGATGTAAGGTGTAAGAATCAAAGGTCTTCTTTTTAAAAAAGAATTTTTTTCTTCCCTATGGATATCCAATTGCTCGAGCACCATTGTTTAAAAGGCTCCTTTTCATCAAATTGCTTTTGCACCTTTGCAATATAAGTTGGGCATTTTTGTGTGGGTTTATTTCTGCGTTCTCTATTCTGTTCCATTGACCTATGTCCATCTTTCTGCCAATTCCACAGTTTTGATTACTATAGCTATATCATAAGTCATGAAATCGGGTAGACTGATTCCTCCCAATGTAGACTTCTTGTCAAAATTGTTTTAGCTATGCTACTTTGCCTTTTCATATAAATTTTCAAATAATTTTGTCTATATCTACAAAAAAGTCTTGCAGGCCTTCTGATAGAAATTGATTAAATGTCTATATTAATTTGGAAAAGTCTGACATCTTTACTTTGTTGAATCTTCCAATCAATAAACACAGCATGTGTGGATGTTTATTTAGATTTTCTTTGATTTTTCTTATTTCTGTCCGTGTTTTGTAGCCTTCTTCATATGAATCCTATACATATGTTGTTAGATTTACACCTAAGTATTTGTTTTTGAGCAACTATAAATGGCATTATATTTTTAATTTTGTTGTCCACCTGTTCACTGGGAGTATACATACAGGCAAAATGTTTGTCTTTCATCCTGTGAACTAGCTGAGGTTCTTTCTGTTGTTGTTGTTTGTTTTGTTTTTTTCTCCAGTCCCTGGCATTTTCTAAATGCCATTTGCAAATAGGGACAGTGTTACTTCTTCATTTCTAATCTATATGCTTATTTCCTTTTATTGTCTTATTGTACTGGCTAGAACTTCTAGGACTATATTGAATAAGAGCAGACAGAATGTATTTTTCTAGTTCCAAATATTAGGCAAAAAGTATTCATCTTTCAGCCATAATTATGTTAGCTGTAGGATGTTCTTTGCCAAGTTGAGAAAGTACCTCCTCTATTTCTACCTTTATTAAAGTTTTTATTATAAATGGGTGTTGAATTTTGTCAAAGGCTTTTTCTTCACTGATGAATGCAATTATTTTTCTTTTTTAGTCTGCTAACATGGCAGACTTCATTGAGTGATTTTAAATTAAACAGGCCTATGTTCCTAAAGTATACCCAACATGGAATTGCTGTACTATTCTTTTTATATGTTGCTAAATTCTATTTATTAAGCTTTTATTAATAATTTTGCAAATATATTAAAAATTTGTCTCTAGTCTTTGCCATCATCTGTCTGGTTTTGCCATCAGAGAATATTGGCTTCATAAAATAAATTCGTAAAGTGTTCCTTCCTTCTTATTTTCTGGAAGAGATTGTGTGGAACTGGTGTTAGTTTTTCTTTAAACATTTAGGAGAATTCTGCAGTGAAACCATCTGGGCCTAGAGATTCCCATTTGGGCAGTTTTTTAAATTACAAACTCAATTTCTTTAATAGCTACAGACCTATTTAAATTACCTATTTCATGTAAGCTGTTTGTGGCAATTTGTGAGAAATGCTTTCCCTCTCTTTTCTGACCTTGCAGGCAATGTAGCTTTCATTCCTTTCATTGTGAAATCTCTAGATCTCAAGCTGAATTACTTGAGAGGCATGCAAATTTAACTGGATTGCTTTAGCCTTCATTTGTGGAAGTACTTTTAGTGAGATACACTGTAGTGTCATAACCCTCTAGCTTTAAGCAAAGGACAATGCACAAAACAGGTCTTCAAATCCAGATGCTACATCCGCTGGACAGACTTTGCTGTAAAGACATTTTCCTCAAGGTCCACAGTACTACTCTCTGAAACTTAGGTGAGATCACATGGGAAACTATTGTCCTTAAATGAGCATCAAGAGAATTTTGTATTCCGTTGAGAATTGGAACAGAAAAGGAAAATCATACAACTGATTGTTTCTTGTTTTGCTTTCATCACTGGGAAGCTCAGATCCAATTTAGTTTCAGACACTGACAAATCTACTGTTGCCTACATAAGTGTCTTTCGATTTATCCTTTCTTCTTAACTTCTCACTTTAATTTGGATTTTTCTTTGTTAGTATTTTGGCATCTTCTTTTTGGGCCATTTTAAAATATTTCCTTTGAAGGATATTAATTCCTTTTACAAACAAGGTGTAATGAAAAGAGTTTTAATAAGTAATATAATAGTCTTTAAATAATTCCAGTCTTATAAGGTCTGACAATTAAGTTCACCTACAGAGTACTCCCCTTGGGAAGCTGTGCACCAACTCAAGTGCCTAGTTCACCCTTCAAAGCACTTTTTCTAGGATGAGTTTGTGAACTTAAATGTCAGACCTTTGTACAAGGACAGTTCCAATGGTCATTTCAGAAAAAGAGTTCCAAAATGTTTTGAAGGGTGGACTAGGCACTCATGTGAGTGTATAGCTTCCCAGAGGGAGAACTTCAAAGGTGACCATAGTGATATTCAGCAATAAGGTAGGTAGCACTTTTTCTAGGATAGATTTATGAACTTAATTGTCTGGCCTTGTATTTGAAGTTTCAAGTATTTTAAACAAGTTATCATATTTGTCTTCATAAATTATAGAGTATTTAGATACAATCTTTAAATGTAAAAAGACAAATATTCCTTAAATAACCAGAGTCAGAGGGAAAATCAAGGTCTCCTGGCCACCCCCCCCCAATTAGTCATTTTCATGAAACATTTTTATCTCTCTTTACTTATCAACCTAGTATCTGCTCTACAGTATTATCTCTTTTCACTCTCATTGGTGGTTTTGACTATATAGAAGTAATACTTACTTGTTTGTCAACATTCGATAGTCTGCCACTTTAGTGGAAAAATCAAGTATTTGATCCATAATCTCTGTACATATTGAATAGTGCTTTTTAAAACGAGCTTGAGCTCTTTCCACAGCAATCTGCTCATGAACTTTCTTCTCTCTGAGGATTTGTTCTTCAAAATCAACCTTGGCTTGTTTTGCCAAAGCCTAAGAAGGCAAAAACATATTTTTAAATCACTATAATTGTGCAATAATTCAAATGAAAATAATATCATCATCTCAATAACTGAAAACTATTTAAATAGAATGAAACTTCCTTTTATACCAGTGTGGAGGCTAAAGCAACTCTATGTTGGCTCCTAGTCCACCATGTTGACTTCTGATTAACCCCTATTCTGGAAATCCCTCTAAAATTTCTACTTTACAATAAACCTTGCACTTAGATCCGAATAACCCTGTCCATAAATTCTGCCCTTAGGCAGATTCTTGTAGCATTCATGTTGAGACTTCAACTTCCTATTCCTCCCTTCCCTGTGATGTATAAGCCTCAGGCCTGGGGGGTGATGGCACAGGGATCTACCATCTTGTCTTATCTCACCAGTGCCAGAGACATGGCTTCTGTCTGTAAGTCCCTATTAAATATTTTCTCTGAGAAACTGCATTTGTCCGCCTCTTCCTTTGGCCTTTCAGTTTCCTCAGACTCTGGATTAGCATAAACTTCCCACCTTGAAACAACCAGGCAAATTAATCAAAAATGAGCACTCTCTCTTATATACACTGAGTATGATGGCACAGATGATATTGGAACAATACTGGAAACATTCCATCCTTAGCTTGGCTTATCAACAAAACATAGTACAGTGAAAAGTGATCTAATTAGGGAAAGCCTGGTGTGAATTAATAATAAATTGAGTATTAAGCCTTTAAAAACTTCACAAATTTCACATCATTAGGGCTCATAGAGAAACACTGAGGTCTTTGCCAGACCCAGCAGAGCAGACACCTCACGCCCACCTCAGGACTCTAAACTTGGGCACATTTGCTGTTGCTGCTGCCCTTTGCCTTTCAGTGGGTGACTTCTATTTGATTTGTACTTAGAAAACATTTTGGAAATTCCCTGATTATCCTGGCTTGAGAATATAACATATTTGCCAGCAAATGTTAACTGTGTTACAAAACTCTCTGCACTTATCGCCTTAATAAACTGATAACACTCATTTATAGAAACATGTATTTCTGTAAAACATAATGAGATACTTGAACAGTTTGTCATCACCCTCTAGTTGAGTCACTATTATTTTGTTTAGGGAACAAAGTAAAATGCAAAGGTCAAACGCAGCCCAGCCAAAATGAAGGTGATACAACCCTCAACTAGAGGAGTTCAAATGACAAAGGTGCTTTTCAATTAGCTCTGCCAGATTCTTGAGAAATTTCATCATGTGCTAACAACCTACTCCAGAAAGAAAACTTGATTCCTGGAATGTAACCCAGTGACTACAACCAGGAAAGTAAACTTGCCTTTGGAGATGTTTTGGTTGAATTCAAACCCCAACTTGTGAGCAAAATTCAAGTTCTAGCTATGAGACCTTGGGCAAGGCATTTCATCTCCTTATTCTTCCATTTCCTCAAAGTGAGGTTATTAATAATACTTATCATACCCAGAAAAACTAACAAACCATGGTAAAGAAATGACTAGATATATGATGATGGATTGCTACATAAAGTCCATCACTTGTTTTGCCATTGATGCTTTGTGTGTTTGTAGGGATGGATAACCTCTAAGCCCAGTTCTTTACATTTGACAGAATCATAAATGACACCAGAATTTGTTACTGTTGTACTGTTTTGTACACCCCATGGTGTACATAGTGGAGAAACAATAAAAATTTAGGCCCAAAGGTTTATGGCATGCTTCAGGAAGCATGAAGAATTAGGAAAGGGGAATTTAGGGTGTAGTAATATTAGACGAGAATTTATGAAGAGAGTGACACTAAAATGAGCCAAGAGGTTGGTTTCTGCAGAGTATCTCTGAATCATGTGGAAATATTTAGGATGTGATGGATCCTAAGGCTTGAATGGAGAGTAGAATTTCTTTATGAGCCACAGAAGAGCTTTCAACCTTGGTTGCTACTATTACCTTCCTCTCTTCCATTTTCCCTCCCTCCTTCCACGTTTTTCTTCCTTCTTTCCCTCCTTCCCCCTCCCTCCATTCTTTCCTTCCTCTCTCCATTCCTACCTACCTTTCTCTGTTCCTATTTTTTCCCTCTATCCAGCTATCAAGCCTTCCTTCTTCTTTTCTACCTCTACTATCCACTCTCTGCTAAACCCACCACAATTTCCGGTATCATCACAGAAAAGTGGGTTGCAGCCCCAACGAGAGAAAGCAGCAAAGGGAAAAGGAAGTCTGTGGGAGGTAGTAAATCTCAGTGGTTGTGAGTTTGGACTCTGGAGTCCGATAGAGCAGGCTTTGCTTCCTGCTATGCCACTCACAAGCTGTACTGCTTTGAGCCTCATAAACTTCAATTTCATTATGTACAAAATGCAGATAAGGATAGTATCCACTTATGATTGGTGCAAGAATTATATTATATATACATGTAATTAGCATAGTGCAATGCTTGGCTCAAAGTAAATGTTTAAAAAACGTTAAACATTATTATAATAATTATTAATAACAATAGTAAGTGGTACAGAAGTGTGAAATCAGGAATTGTCCTATTATAGAATAAAGTCCAATTGCCTTGAAGGAAGAGATTAACAGATTTAATCTAAAAACAAAATAAGAACAAGCAAAAGTAAAAAAATACTTCTGAAAGTGAAAAACAAAGTTCTCCCCTACTTTTCTGTCCCTTATTTCCTTCGATTCACTTCCCTTTCTCCCTTCTTTCTTTTCTTTCTTCCACACTCTTTTTTTCCTCTCTTTCCCTTTCTCTCTCGTTTACTTTTTAAAAATGTGCCAAACACTCGGTTAAGCCTGGGAAAAGTTGTGAGCAGAAGCAAACATGGTCCTGCCCCTCTTTTAGCTTACATTCCAATAGGATTGTCAAATAGTAAAAAAAAAAAAAAAAAAAATACAAGTAAGTGTGTAACTACATACTGAGTATCACTAGAGAAGGATTGGTGGGTATGAAGGTCCATATCAGGGCTCTGACCTAGACGAGAAGCTCCCTGTGCACAGAGCCTGAGTGAAGGCAGGTGGTAAGAAGGGGAAAGGTAGAAGGAACAACTTGGGCATGGATCTGAGAACAGATCAGCACCGCCGGAGCTGGGGGGATAAAAGGAACAGGTCTGAGTAGGCATCTGGGTGATCAAATGCTATGATGAATTTTAATGACAAGAGCAGTGCTAAATCCTAGAGGCAAAAGGATTCCTCTGGTTGCAAAATGGAGAATGGATTGGACTAGATGAGAGGATAGAGTAGGCAAATTGTATGTTATTTCTAATTTTCCCCCTTTCTTCATTTCAAGATGTCTTTTAACTCCTGCTTTAAGGAATTTCTGCCAGACAAAAGCAGAAACTATTGGAGGATCATCCTAACTTTAGTAAAAGACTAAATTCAAAGGCTATATAATCTAGATTTCTAAGAGAGGAGAGAGAGGGGGGTGTTGAAAGCAAAAAGAAAGATGAAGAGATACGCACCCTACTCCCTGGCAGCTCCTGGGGGGCACCAAAGCCTAAGAAGGGATAATATGGGGGACCAATGAAGGCTAGGTCAGACTCCCCATAGGTTCCTGTGTGCTGCGGGAGCATGTGGGCTGTGGCACCAGTGCTCTGTGGCCCTGGGCTCGTGCCTGATGACCGTGGTGTTTCCCAGATGACTGGGCCTTTGTACCCTGGGGCATCGTGTATCTCTGAGGGATAGAGATATGACAGAGTCTAATTTCGGTTGGCTTAAGAGTATAAATAATGTTATACTCTTGCACCCTCCCATTTTGTAGCTGCCAATTCATATACATTAAAAATGTGTGACGGAGAGCACTGCAGTAGTAGTACTGTAGTGGAAACCAGGGGTGGTGATACAGATGTGAGGAAAAAATGAACACAATGAAGAGAAACTTAGTGTGTGAAATTAATAGGACTTAGGATGTTTGGGTCAAGGAGGACTGAGAACGAAGCAGGTTTCAAGCGGGTCCTGAGTTTTTATACTTCCACAACTGGATGATACCATTTATTTGTTAAGATATAGAACCTTAAAAAGACCAGTTTTGGCTTGACCATGTGGAACTGGAAGTGCCTCTAGGAGGCGTGTACATGACTGGAATTGTCAAGGAGGCATTAAGCCTGAACCTCAGGGGGCGCAGGCCCAGTGCATATAAACATAAGTCTCGGCTGTGATGCAGCTGTCTGAGAGAGTAACACAGAGGGGAAAAGAAGGAAGCCTCGGACTAAGCTCTGAGGAACTTGGACAATATTCATCTGATACCAGAGGGGAATGAACCCAGAAACAAGGTCAAGAAGGAGAAGGCAGAGGAGTGGAAGGAAACCCAGAGAGTGTTTTCCACAGTAGTACTTGGTGGAAAGAGTGCGTGGAATAGCAAATCAGAACTATTAAAATAAATACATAAATATGATTGTATGCCAGTCACTGCTGGTAGAGGGATTGATGAATTCAACATGCGTGAATGAAAACTGTCAAACCCAACCATTTCTGAGAGGGGTGACCAGGAAGCAGATCTCTTAGCTGTAGGAAAAGGTCATCATCATGTGAGAGGAAGGAATATATGTTCAGGTGTGTCAGAACCTCATGATATAAGTCCCTGAGGCTGGAGCAGGCCTGAGCACCCCACCGGGTCAGTTCAAGCCAATTAAAGAAAGAACAGAGGAGCCTGCTCAACACGGTGAGACAGTCCAGCTAAAAATGCTTTGCTATTCTGCGCTTAATTAATTGGGCTTTTAAATAGGTACTCAAAAAGATAGATACATGTATCATTGCCAATGTAAGTAAATGCCACTCAATCCATTCAAATCTATTTCCAAAGCAGACGGATGAAATAATCATCCAGGTAATTCGGCTCTTGAGGCCAAAAACACTTGAGATCAGCATTCATTTAGCTCAATTCATGGGGTATGGCTCCTGCTCCCCACCATTTAGGCTATGTCTATTCTCTAAAGGCAAAAGTAACTGACTGAAGATTATGGTACTCTCTAAATGATATTTCTAAAAATTGCATAATTTTAGGTGAAAACTATATTGCACTTTCATCAGATATCACAGTAGAAGCTGTGAAGCTGATAAATAAAGCACAGTCTTCCTGTTTTCTGTCAGGTTTTCTCTTCAACCCAGTCTTGTCTTATAACTATTTTATGACAGTAAAGACAGCCTATCTAAAAATGCCACTTTGATGCGTTATGTATCTCTTCAATCAAATATAGACTAGTGGAGTAAATGCATCTGAAACATTCCCAGTAGGAACTAGACAAGAAATAATCCATAATGACCCATTAATAAATATATTTTGGTTATAAATAAATAAATATAGTTTATTTATGAAGTTCAGAACAAACATAATGTATTGAAAGATTGAAAGATTGTGTATTTTGACTTTCCAAGTTATAAAAGAGCCTGATCCAATGATACCATGATAGCAAAGAGCATACCTAATAGCCAGATCTTGGTTTCTATATATCATTCTCAAATACAATGTCATAGTGTACCCTAGATAAATGATTTATTATATAATTCTGAGGGAGGAACTAGAATAATATGGGTTTGGGAAATCTAGTTTTATCATAAGGTAAGGAATTGTTTATTGAAGACTAATGGTGTGTTATTGAAAAGAAGCAGCTTAAAAGTTCTTTGTCTGAGAATACTCACCTAGAAAAACCAACATCAAAGCCTACTCTAGAAAACATAGTGGACCTTAAAGCAAGTCCTTTGGGTATGTAGGGAAGTAAAGATAATGACTCAATAAAATTAAAATTAGATTACCATCATTCTTTTTGACAGAAACATTTTGTACTTAAGGAAAAGTGATGTATTTAAGATCTTCAAGGAAAGAAAAATGTGAATCAAGAATTTTATACATAGCAAAACTGAAAATCAAGTATGAAAGGCACACATCTTATTATTGTGTGAGGACTCAGGGAATATTGTTCCCATGAGCCCTTCCTGAGAAAATACATTGAAGACATTCAGACAACTGAAATGCCTAGAGACACATGAACACAGCTTAGATAGTAAATTACTTATTAACTTGTGGACTCAAGACTGAAAGGTGACGGCAAGGTATGTAGTGGCTATATGCTCTGTCGATGCAGTTATACAAAAACAGAAATGAAAAGATAATAGGCAGATCATATAAAAAATTAACCTTAGAGGTGATTGGCAACAAAACACAGCTTTGTTTGCCATGAGTTGGTCAAAGGGTCAAAGAGTTTTATTTTGTTTTAAGGATCAAAGGTTTTTAAGGGAGATACTGCTTACAGCTTCTCGATCAAGAGCATCCTGGAAATCTTTAAGTCGTCTTTCCTCATATTGCTTTTCTTTGAAAATTCTGTTTTGCCATAAAACCTCCTTCTCGTGCCGAACATGCATCAGCTGCACAGCAATCCTGCGCTCCTGCTGGGACTGCCTCATCAGCCGGTTAATCAGCTGCTCCTCCCGATAGGCCTCCTGGAAGCACCAGTGGAAAAGCCAATTATCTGTCAAAGCGATGTCCACATTTCCCATTGGACCAAGAAAACTATACATAAATAATACAAAAGACATAATATTCATATAAATTAATTTCCTCCATTTGATTGAAATGTGAACAAAATTTAAGTTATAGAAACAAGACCTTCCAACAAAAGTTGTATAATTTGAGTATCTAGAAACATTATAGTCTTGCAACTCACATTACTTTAAATGAATTATTACTTCCTTTAAAATCTTGCTAAACATAAATTAAGTAATTTTTTTAAGTTTTTATAAACAAGTGATATAATTGTGTATAAAAACACATTTTTCAGAAATTTGGAATTGTGCTATATGCATTCTAACATAACTACTATTTATAAAACAAATATAGCCGTTGTCATGAAGCTGGCAGATCCCATTACTCACTAATGGGGACATCTCAATATTGGGGTGAGGAAAAGCTAAAAACTGACAGAAGGTGAAGCAGCTTGGAGAAGTAGCTAAGTGGAAATTGACCTACTGCTTATTTTAGAAAATCAAAGTGGTCATAATCTGGATGTATTCTAGACTTTTTTAAGAGGCTAGAAGGGGACCAGTCAATGAATAGTGGAAGAGATATTAAACTGGGACATGGTTGTTGCAGTCCCAGTTGTTCTGCTAGCTATTGTGTAGCCTAGGGCAAGTAACTCAGTTTTTCAGCCTAGTTCTTGGTCGGCAAAAGGAGGGGATTAGATGGAAGATGATGACCACGGCCCTAACAAGCTCACTTACTCTTTCTAAAGAGACATCACATGGAAAGAGGAGGTAATTATAGTACTCATTGGGCAAGACTTAATACATCAACACTAGAGTTTTCCATTTGACACTAAATAGTACAATGATTGAATAAGAAAATCTGCAATCATTAATGACACTATCTCAAATGATCTCGTCTACTATAAAGTTACAAGAAAAATATTGTATAGTTAATAAAACCAAGACACAAACCGCAATAATACTCTGTGGTAAATGCTGAACCTGGACTAGGGAATTGTTTGAAAATGTAGCTTGAATATGAATTTTTTCTGTTAGCAAGACATATTAAAAAAAACAATTAAATCTGTTCTGTTTAACTCAAAATACATATGAACTTTTTTCTGTTAGCAAGATATAGTAAAAAAAAAAATCATGAGCAACTTTGAAACATGTCTTATCTAGTTATAAAATTCTAAAAGCTTTAATGTTGATCTAAAAGCTTTAATGTTTTCCTTTGAGATCCAATATTGGAGGTGAGGAAGTATGTAAAAATGGGCATAAGTTCTTCTCATTAACTCATCCACAGTCTTACAATATTACCCTGCATAAATCCTCATTAAAAAGCAAAATCTACTTTTCCACTCATTAAAGAGGGGGCATGGAATGACCACCAACTTATCACTGGGACATCAGCAAAAGAAACAGAAAAGAGCAAAAAAATCCTCAATTACATCCAGGGGGGAGGAGATTCAGGGTTTGAAGTTTCTAAACTTTCCCTGTCAATATCACCAGGTACAGGGCCTGGTCTGCTAAAAAATGAGATGCACTAATCATCCCAGTTGAACCTGCTGATGCTATCGTAAATCATCCCGCCTCAGCCAACCCACTAACTGAGCAAACTCTGCTAAAATCAGTGGAAGAACAGCACAGCTAAGCCCAGCCCAAACTGCCTACATGTTTTGGGGTGATTTTAGATATTTGAGGCAGTCCCACCATATTTTTGAAAAGTATGAACGTGCTTTATTGTTTCAGATGAATTCAAGGAGATTGGCTATGTTGGTATGGTGAGGCAATTTAGTTGCCAAGATGAGAGAGTTAGTCCTTTCAATCCTATGAAGAACAAACTAGATTGGTCAATTATGTTTTGATTATTACTGGATGAAACACATTATGGTTAACACAGAAAAAAGAAGAGAAAATTACTGTGGGATGGCTGAGTTAATGCTATGCACATGAAGCTTTATAATGAAGAGACTAAGTGTATCAGGATCTGCACTCAGAAGCTGAGTGGGAAAGAAGATTTATGTATCTTTTTCCCATTGTACAAGTAGCTCATGATTTAGAAATAGACTGTTTCCCAAAATTTCAGTAGAGTGCAGGATATATTTTCTTATAGAAACAAAGATACAAGTCATGGGGTGCTCAAGGAAGCCAACAGATGTCTATTTAACCCAGAACATAGATGAAATATTCTATATTTGCAATGAGTAAAATGGAAAATGATAAAAGATATGATTTTATTTTAATTATATTTACCATATTTGTGGAAGGATTTAAAGAGCTATAAAATCAAGACAGCTCAATTTGATTTCCAGGGCTTCTACTTCTCCCGTTAGTTAGAGCAAGGAACTTATTCTGGTCTATAATCATTGTCTCATTTTCCAAAGATGCCCAAGCAGTCTTGAGAAAAGGGAGCACTGTAAGGAAGATTTCTCATGGGGAAAGGGGGCACTGTAGGGAAGATTTGATAGCTAAGTATTCAAAGTTCTTTTAGTTAAGAAGTAGGAGAGGAGTCAGGTGTTCAAATGCCAATTCCAAGGAAATAGCAAGGAATAAGTTCTCAGAAGGCAATGGTAATTAATTTGGAGCAAACCTTAAGAATTAGTCAAGATACTAGCCAAATGGCTACAGACCCAAATGGGAGCTAAATTTGTTCCCAGTTTGAACATCTCACTTAAACGCCTATGAAATACTTTAAAACAGTCATATACCAATGGGAGGGCAGGGACAGTTTGTTCTCTCATGCCCCCTCCCCCATTAGTTTGCAACTGTTTAAATTCCACAAGACCAAAATTAAATTTACTAATTCCCCTTCAAACTTAGTCTTTTCCTTTTAGTTGACAATTTTGTAGTAATCAAGTCTGCTCTAAGACATTAGCACCATCCCAAGTTCACTCCCAATATCCAATTCTTCAAGAATTTCACCTCTTACAGTGTTTTTAAATCACCCCCACTCCATTCCACACTCCTGACACCACCTTTATCTTGTATATCAGCTCTTCTTTACTATGCCTCCCCCAACCATCTCTACTTTCAAAACCTGTCCCCCAAAAAGTCAAAGTGACCTTTCTAACCTTAAATATCATCTTTTAATTCACATGGCTCATTATTAGATAATGAAACTTGCAATAAGTAATCATTTAAAAAATACTTTTCAAATATCAATCTTTCGTAATTTGCCATTATTCTAATAAAAGGGAGATGATAAAACTGACTAAACAAAGATATAAGTAATTCTGAAGAAATAGCCTTCCAGCACAAAGAGATGCCCAGAGTTGTTCTCTAAACTTTCACTAAGAAAGCAATGCAGTCTGTGGATAAAGAGTTTCACTTCTTCATATTTACATGAAGCCCCTATTTCTTTCAGTGAATAGAACCAGTAAGCAGACCAGACATGGTTTGGTGAATAAAAGAACAGGCAAGATATCAACTTGAGCACAGGTCTCTGGCTCTCTCTTCATCAGCCAAACTAAAATGAAAGAGCATAAATTCCAAGGGAAAACTGCAATGACTTGAAAGATAGGAGGGATAGTTTGAGGCATTTCTGATAGATCCAGTGTAAATGACCAGAAGAAAGCATCCAGGACTGAC